GAAAAAAATTATTTTTATCTATTTTATATGTTGGAACAGATACTAAGATAGCTAACTCTGAATAATGTCAAATCACTTTAACATCTCAGATTTTACATATAATACAGAGCTTTTCCCTTTACTTCTTTAGGAAGGATATGGAACTTCTTCCAGGAAAATTTTTAAATGGCCTGTTTCTTAACACATTAAACTGTAGTTAATACCTGGAATTTAATTTTTTATTTTCTTCCTCCATATTTTTAAAAGGAGTAAGATAAAAATATCATGTGTAGTGAGAGGGACTGGACCATTCCAGCCTTGCTTAAGGGATGCACTGGTTCAATAACCTCATTTCTCTGAGTGTCTCTTACCCTCCGAACTTGCACACTGTACTCATACTGTGGAGAAGGACAGGAATTTACTCTTTCCAAGTAGGCATGTCCGATTAGAAATTATGCTTTTCAGTCTACTGTGAATTTTACTAATGAGCACACCTTAATTACAAAAAGAAATTTTTAACAATGTTTTAGTCTTTGACAGCAAAAATTACTGCTGTCACTTTTAGATGAAAAGCTAATGCTTTCAGTGAGTGGAGTGGACACGTCTTGAAGAACTTTTGTCTTTGGCTTAGGATTTAGTGTTGATCACTCCCACTGAGCTTTAACAAAATCAATAGAATAGCAATCCTTAGCTCTTTTCATGAAGCCACTCTAACTGTGAGAGATTCTATGAAGATTAGAAAAATGATTGTTGTTCATATGATTGTATCCTCAATGCCAATTTTAGGTAGACAAATACAGAAAAAAAAGTTAATTACCTAAATAATGTTCCAAGATAGAAATCGGCCAGAGAGCAATAATGATATCCAGCTCCTCTTTGGACTCTCAGAACACATTTTAAAATGTGTTACCCTTCTACACTTTTATTTTTACTGCCACTACCTAAAGAGTAGAAAAATAACAACTACTTGTTGATGACAATTTATATTTCTATTACATATCTGGAAGAAATGGGACTATGCATAATGGTTGAAAGGAGGAAGAAAAAAAGATCAAAGTGAGGCAACTTGGCAAAAAGTGCTGAACAATGTCTGAACTCTAAATATTCAAAGTTATCAAAAACACAGTTAGCCAAAAATCATTTCTCAAAAGCCCTAGAAATCAACCTTTACACTGGAAAATTGCAGGACACTTCATTCTGGAAACTTTAGTACCATAGGTTTTTTTCTTAGTTTTATCTTTGTTGTTAACTGACACAGTAACTCTGTTGAAAACCAAATTATTATATAAAAACGTGTTGCACTGATTTTAATAAGTGCAAATCGAATGATTTTTGCTTTGTGAAGTAAATCAAACTTACCAGATCACAGGTCAAACAAGAATAGATTTTGCTGAATTTTTTCCTTTCTCAAAGAGCAACTAAAAAAAAAAAAATTAGTACTAGGAAAAGCCTAGCTAAATGCTTCTTGACAAATACTTGAAAAAAAAATTGGCAAGCGGAAGTAAAGATTGCATTAGGGACAAGGGGCATAGCATGTATTTAATAAACACTGCTAACCTTTGTGTTTAAGACAGTGCAACTAACAAACTGGTAAGGAGGAAAGTGTAAACTTCCCTAAAGAAAAGATACAGAGACAATTGTGTGTGCACAAAACACACACACACTTCATCTTGAAAAGTTATGAAATTAACCAATAACTAAATGAAAACAGCTTCATAAGTGTTTGAGGTGATACGCTTTTGAAATGAAAGTAGGCATAAAATCTATTACATCACTTCAAATATATGTAAAAGATTTAAAATTTATTTTTGGTTAAATTTATTTTAATGATCTCCACTTGTGTTTTGATAATGTGTATGACAAAAATTTACTTTGACATGATGGATAGAGACAAGAAGGTGGATGGATGAGTTTCTGTGTGGTGTGAGTAGCAAGGTTTCTATCTAAACCTTTAAGGATGCCAGATGTAAAGGAGTCTGTTCTTCAAAGCTGTCCTTTAAAAAACTGGGAAGTACATATAAGAAATTCATAAATTCTAATACGCATTTGTTCTAACTGGAGATATGCTGACCAGAGGGACGAATAGTGGCTAGAGAACATTAGCTGCTGCTTCTCTCCAAAATCTCACCTCTTTGATTTGTATCTCAAAAGCACAATTTTATTTTCCAAACAGGAAGCTCTTTTCTTGTTACTTTTAGAAGCAGGAAACTTTATCCCTTTCATTTTATGACTGGATGAATAATGATATAAACAACAAACAAGTTAATTTTTCATTTCATTATCTCACTTAACAGCATTCTTGGCATAATTCTTTAGAAAGTAATTTGTGAAGGTAACAGCTACACTACTTCTTGTCACCCAGCCAGTTTACCTTGATTTTTAAACAGAAGAAGAAACACTTTTAAAAGGCCCAGTGTTTTGGATCTGTGCTCCTTATTCTTCTCTGAATATTTGCTCACTGACCAAGCCTGGTTCCTCTACCGATCACACCGTTTCCCTTCTAGGGGAAGCACGTGCCCTGCCACCAGGTGGGGAGCCCAGTGGTTAGCAGAGGCCACCACAGGAAGAGTGCTCATACAGTTGCGCACGGGCGGTGTGCCTGCCTCTCTCCGGCTGTCCTCTGGTCTCTGAATTCCCACCTGGAGGCCTTGCTCTTTTATCTCCTGGCTTCTAACATTAGCTTCCTTATCTCCATGGACTCTGCCTGCTATGCATACAAACCTGCCTACATTTCATTCATTAAAATATTGCAATAACCCACAAAAGCCAAATAAACAAAAATCCCCAGTGCTTTCTGGACCAAGTCCACTCCTCTAAGCAAGAGCCTGTTTTTCCCTTCCCTTTGAGGCACGAAGTCTTGTTCGCACCTCCTCTTCCCAAGACGCCATGCAGGCTCTCAGCTTGCACATCACCTCAGGGCCTCCTTGCTAGCCTCCCCGCGCTTCTTACTGTTCCTTTCATCTTTCCTTCTGCGGCTGCCATAAGATCTTTTATAAAATACAAGTCTGACTGTATCATTTTCCCGCTTACATTCCCGCACTCTCGCTTCCCACCATTTTTTCAAGGGAAATCAAACCCCTTGCTATGGGGACCAGTTTTTGATGATTTGCCCCATTTAGCTTAATTGTTTACCCCCCTTCAGCCTCCCCTCTGTTGCAAACTCCAGAGGTCCTGAATCCACCGCTGTACTTGAAGCTCCCTCCGAGCTGTCCAGCATGTGCTGTTTTCCCTTCCAGGAGCACCCTTGTCTCAATTTCCCTACCCACGAAACCTCTACTGATCCTCCTCGCTTTGGCTCCAAGTCGCCCTCTTGGAAACCTTCTGGACCCTCCGCCGCCATGCGGTCTGTGCCCTGCGTCTGGCTCCCTGCGGCGCCCTGTGCGCCGCAGATGCAGTCCAGGAGGAGCACCTAAAGCTTACTCACGACTTTATCACAGGGCCTGGTACATGACAGGCCTGTAGGATATGTGTGCTGAATGACTTTTATTGTATTTTTATTTTCCCCTGTCTCCCAAGTACGGGACTCTATGGCTCCCATTCTCTGAATCCCAACGCCCAGCCAGTGGACGCCACACACTATATGCCAATGAAGATCAGAAACTGTTGCAGGAACCAGCGCTGTGACCACCCTCAGACTCCCGTCTCCCAGCTGCCCCTGCGGGCTGACAGGAGATGGCACCTCCTCGTGTGCCCGCTCACCGCGGTTCCGTCACCAAGCCCCACGTGTCTGCACTTTCACTAACTTCCTATTACCTGTAGGAGGAAACCAAGTTCCTGCCTCAGTTTCTGTGCGTAGAAATGTTTTTCTTGATCTTCACAGACTCTCTCCTTCTCCTCCATGTCTCAGCTCAGGCCTTTGTCACCTACTCAAACTAAAGCTGTGTTTGAGTCACCTTATTATATTAATTTGTTTTAGTTTGTTAATATCTTCACTTATTAGAACTTAAGTGATCTTCTTTCCCAGGCTTTTATTCTGTATTTTCTGTATGTTTCCCTATTACCTCCCTCACTGGACCATAAACACAGGGGCCTGGTTGGCTTTGTTCATTCTCGACACCCTGTCCTACGGCAGGTCCTGGAACCAGAGGGTTAAGTTCTGAACATTTGCTCAGCTAGGAAAGACTGGATGCAAAACTACTTCAGGTTGGCACGAAGGTCAAAGATCTGGCCTCATTCCACCTTCCCAGCCTTATTTCCAACTAACTCCTCACATGACATCTGCTTGCTGTTTTCTAAATACCTATATTACAAGCTTTCTAATTGGGCCTAACTATAAGAACTGTGTCTTCTTTTTTTTCCTATTTAAGCTATCTTCATCTTAAATCTAGCCAAAACTCCATTCTTTTTTATAAGGCAACCCAAAATGGGGAGCTCCTTAACTATATTATTAATCTATTTAATGTCATAAACATCCTTCATTTCTCTATAGCTATTTTATACTGATAATGGGATTTTAAAAAACGTTTACAAATAAATTTTAGGTTATAAGACAAAACAATTCTTAAAAGGCAAAATTCCCTATGGTAGGAGTAAATAAGAGTCAGCCTCCATCTTACCTATTTCAAGAAAATTGTATGCCTATTTCTTCAAGTATACCAAAGAAGTTTGATTTCAGGTATAATGGGTGGCATAAGAAACTGTGTTTGAAATTTGCTAATGAGAGTTGGTTCTAGTAACAACTCTGATGTCCACTTCAATTGCAGATAAAATTAACCACTGAACATATTATGAAAATCCATCCAACAAGTGACTCTTTCAACTTTTAACTGTGAGCCTCGCATAGTCCAGTTGATTAAATAATTTGTTATAATCTAGAAAACAAAATATAACCAGGGATGCTCCTGTGGTAGGAGCTATTAGCCAGAAAATTCTCAAAACTTAGAGTGAATCTTAAATACTTTTCCTGATCTACACCCCGCGGACTCCAGAGGCAAATACTAGCAAAAATACCTTCATATATGGCCTTAGATAACAGACGGAACAACACAACATATAACGGTAAATAAAGGAAAGACACCAACCTGGACACGAACTTTGCACCACTAGCATCTTCTGCTGAATTCATGTCCTCCCAGCAGGGTTTTCTATGACTCAGCCGCAGGCTGACCTGAGGAATGCTATCAGATAGTTCTGGTTGTGGTATCCTGAGGGCCTGAATAGATCCCTCACTCCTGGACTTTGGGATCTAGAAAATAAAAATTTTTTTAAGGGGGGGCAGAATTTAAAAAATCTTTCAAATTAAGCTATTGAAATAATTTATTCTAATTTAGTAATGATCTAATGTATTAATAACATACTACAAAAATTCAACCCAGGTATGTTATTTAAAATACATATAAAAATTCTTACTTATTTAGCAAAGGGCACAGGGAAGGGATTATGTCAATAGTTCTAAGGGGAATTTTCAAACCATACACAATCCATAGCCCTCTCTGGGATTCTGACACACATCTTCTCCAGCCCTACCCCTCCTTAGAATACTCATTCTATGTAATGAGAGATCATGAGAGTATACGTGACTGGCAATCTGGATTGAAGGAAAGAAGAAATAGAGTCAGAAAAAAAAACAACAAAAAACTGAGAACCTGAAATAAAAGATACCAATGTGAAACTGAGGTTGAGATAAAAATCCATTGCCACAGAGCTAACTAACCTCAGGTCTTAATGACCTTTCCCAACTCTGAATTCCTAAAACACACCACTGCACAATCTCCAGCTGATTCTGTTGTCTGATACCTTAATCTTGTTTGTCTCATGTTTCTAGGTTATAGAGTCTCAACCAGATCTGGAGGCAGATTACAGCTTCATTGTTTTCTTATTTCTCCGCTTCTACCCATTCCCTCTCTTCTGCTTCTTTATATTAATGTTTTTAGCATAACATCTAGCAGTTTTGAATCCATTAATAAATACTTATTGCCAGATAAGACACCTTTCAACTACAAGATATTCCCAAGTTACTGAATGACCAAGAGGCTAGGATAATAGACAATTAAAAGCAGTAATATGGGAACAACTATGAACAGAAACATTTAATAAATTCATACCTCTACAAGGACTACATAATACATGAAAACAATTTAGCAAAGAGTTACATGTAGCACAGTGAAGCAGATGCTCAATGAAAGCTTTTATGAATACTGTTATGTAAAACTTGCCTAAATATGATTATCAATTAGTTGTTCAGTTACATTTCTCTGTAATGCATTTGTAAGTTTATGAAATCAAGAAAAGAAAAAATTTTTACAAATTATGAACTAATTACAGTTCATAGAGATATTTGTGAAAATCACTTCTAAAAGATATATTCAGATAAACAGCAAGAGAACATGGAAGTAAAAAAATATGTTATTATGTATTTCACAAAAGGTCCCCTTTTACATGTTATTTTTCATAATAAGAGTAGACATGAAAAATAAAGACACTGGGAAATCAGTAAGATTTCAAAGTAGTTAGCTAAAAAATCTCACATCCAGACTTAATTCTCACTCAATATTAAAACAAATACAAGGGCAGTTGTTTGGCCACATTTTATGGTGTTAAAATAAGGACATGACAAGCTCAGTGATAATTTTGGGGTTCTAAATTTGATTCAACAATTTATGTAACGGAAAAATATCCTAAGGTGAAAAAGGTAATATGCAGATTATATTAAAATTGACTACAGTTTCATCAGTTTGCATTTAAATAGACTATGTATTGCAAATCGCTTAGAACTCAGATATCAGCAACCATATCTGCATTTATCTAAGTGTATTTCTGTGATGATTTAATTTCTATAGAATATACATGATTGTCATTAACCACAGACTTTAAAACATAAACTATTAATATATAACAAAGCAGTACAAAGAATTGAGCTTGTGCACAGAACATGAAAATACTACGTGAAGTTTATAAGCAAAGAAAATTGTTAGAAAAAAGGCAGCTTAGTAACTCTGAGACTACTAGGCCTGTGGAATATATACACGTATTTTAAAAGGAATGAATGTCTTTAAACATGATCAATGATTTCTTGATTATGAACCCTGAAGACTATACATCTTCACTACAGAAGTGATAATTACGGGAAAAATGAACAGAGCGATAAAATTGTAAAACCTGTTTTACTGATGTAATTAATTTTAGCACCAATGTATAGTACCTTGAGAAAAAAGGAAGAGATCGCTTTCTTTACCTGAGCTTGAATTGAGCTTCTCAGAAACACATGCCTTGAGCCTTGGCCTTATAAAGTAGGTAAAGGGGATAGTTCTGTCTTTATGCTTCTGGGTGTCCCTTTCAGACTGCATGTAGTTTAATGAGGGACTCAGAGTCTCTCAAGGTCCCTTCATCACGGGACTCTCTGAGGAGGGGTGCGGCACCAGTCAGCCAAGGACAAGGGCACAGGGGATAGGTGATTATGGTATGACCTTAAAGCAGTGGTTCTCACAAGGAGCCAAGTTTTGTCTGGGGACATTTTTGGTTGTTATGATAGTGGTGGGGGTATGTACCAGAGGAATCTAAGGGGGTGGTCAGGGACGTGACTAAACAGCCTAGAGTGCACAGGATGGACTCCCACAGAGAATCATCTTGCCCAAAACGTCAGAGAGCTTTAGTTGAGAAACCCTGCCTTAGAGAGTAGGGTAGAAAGAGAATATGTATTGAGGCAATGCCTCTCTTTATAATCCACCCCTCTTTTTTTCCATTGGCCTGTTAAGATGTAATGCACCAAGATCAGCTAAGTTTAGCAGCACTGGGCCAAGAAGGTACTTAGGCCTGCCTTGTCTAGGCAAGAGTCACTAGTGACTCAATGAGGTGTGGGGCAGGAACTCCAAATAGGGCCAAAAGCCTTACTGTAAAAAAATGGGGTGCATGTGTGCTTGGAGAGACAGTCCTTCAGCCTCCCTTTCAATGTGTGGCTGAAGAAGAAAAATGGGCAAGGGTCTGGGATACTGACTATAGTGACGAGCCTATCTTTTTCACTGGAGATATCCACTACTTCATTCCACATTTTGCTTCTTTATTTAAGTGATGTGTTCATAAAAATTTTTGTACTTGAAGGTGAAAACTGTACAGGTCCCCAAGCCATCTATGAAAAGCATTTTGTTCAGAAGAATTCTACTATTGGCTTTTTGAGATAAAGATCTAGGCACATACTCTGATTTATGCGTACGACTAAAATACTAACAATTCCAGGAATCTGCAAAAGAGCACATTCCATTCATGTACTTGCAGGGATGGGATAGTCTAAGTGAGAGGTAATTTGGGCTACTTTAGTATTTGAGATGCCATGGGAATATGAACAAAAGGATAACCTTTGAGATGTTAAATTAGGAAATATTCTCTTAGATTCTATTACGGTTACTGTTGTAAACATTTAGTGAGCATTGCTCTGTGCTAGGCAGGGTTCCAAGAGATTTACATAAATTAACCCATTTAATTCTCACAACAACTCAAAGAGGCAAGGGTTATCTATTTCAAAGATGAGAAAACTGAGGCATAAAGAGTTTGAGTTATTTTTCCCAGTAAGTGGCAGAGCTACAGTTACAACCCAGTCAGGCCTCAGTACCTGTGGATCATCTCTACTCTCTACATCTGGTAACATGTTAGATATTAGAATTGCAAGAAGAAAAGGCATTACTGGATCAGAGTCATATTACATCCCATAATGCAGGCCATTTTCTTCTCTTTTTGGGTGTTAGTAGTTAAATTTTTCTTCAAATTCATCTCTCTGGTACCTACCCAACCATTGTAGCAATATAATATTAGAGAGAAAAAAATCAGATATGAGAACAAAATTATATGGAAAATGTGTTCATCATATTTTTATTTATAATAGACCAAAAATGTAATCAGTCTAAACAGCCAAATTACTATAATAGGTAATTATGGTCTGACTATAGTGACGAGCCTATCTTTTTCACTGGAGATATCCACTACTTCATTCCACATTTTGCTTCTTTATTTAAGTGATGTGTTCATAAAAATTTTTGTACTTGAAGGTGAAAACTGTACAGGTCCCCAAGCCATCTATGAAAAGCATTTTGTTCAGAAGAATTCTACTATTGGCTTTTTGAGATAAAGATCTAGGCACATACTCTGATTTATGCGTACGACTAAAATACTAACAATTCCAGGAATCTGCAAAAGAGCACATTCCATTCATGTACTTGCAGGGATGGGATAGTCTAAGTGAGAGGTAATTTGGGCTACTTTAGTATTTGAGATGCCATGGGAATATGAACAAAAGGATAACCTTTGAGATGTTAAATTAGGAAATATTCTCTTAGATTCTATTACGGTTACTGTTGTAAACATTTAGTGAGCATTGCTCTGTGCTAGGCAGGGTTCCAAGAGATTTACATAAATTAACCCATTTAATTCTCACAACAACTCAAAGAGGCAAGGGTTATCTATTTCAAAGATGAGAAAACTGAGGCATAAAGAGTTTGAGTTATTTTTCCCAGTAAGTGGCAGAGCTACAGTTACAACCCAGTCAGGCCTCAGTACCTGTGGATCATCTCTACTCTCTACATCTGGTAACATGTTAGATATTAGAATTGCAAGAAGAAAAGGCATTACTGGATCAGAGTCATATTACATCCCATAATGCAGGCCATTTTCTTCTCTTTTTGGGTGTTAGTAGTTAAATTTTTCTTCAAATTCATCTCTCTGGTACCTACCCAACCATTGTAGCAATATAATATTAGAGAGAAAAAAATCAGATATGAGAACAAAATTATATGGAAAATGTGTTCATCATATTTTTATTTATAATAGACCAAAAATGTAATCAGTCTAAACAGCCAAATTACTATAATAGGTAATTATGGCACATCTGTATGATGAAGGATTATTCAGACATTAAAACATTTACAAAGTTTTTAATGACACCGTGAAATACTTTTGTTATGACATATAATATAGTGTGAGCTCAGTTAGCAAATAAAAATGCATAGGGATGGTTATATACCCCAGTAAAACTCAATCACTGTACTTCAAACACTGAATACATTTCAAAGACCAAAAGCCAATTTCTGTCACAGTCAACACTACTGTTTTAAGATGGTCTCATCTAAAATATTGAATAAGGAATCCAGCACCAGAAAATATGTCTGTAATACAGGGTTCTGATTTACCCTGATACACTGATGTGACTAAAAATAGGAGAGATATAAGAGAAATTATGTTCCTCAACTTAATATTTAT